GACAAACCGCGTTTTACAAATTCGAGGTTTGTGAATCCAAGTCGAATTTCTTTTAGGTAGGTAAATAACAGCTATCCACGACATTGAATAGATTCCATTCGAACATGAAGTAGCGCATCATTTCTCTTCATCAGTCGCACGGAAGATTGATCAAATCTTTAGCTCGTGTGTGTGTCCATGGTTTTCATCGATCTGTTCAACAACACCGACTGTTCGCCCATAGCATACCAAAGAAGCGGTCATTTTGGGATTTCATCCTCACGTATTTTAACTAGTGAGTGTGTACACAGCTTGAGCCACACCGGATCACATGAGTGACTGAAGTCAAGTGATTTCACGATCGTCCCGCCCGTTGTGTGTGTACACACCCAATTGTGAGGTGAGCCTTTGGAATTCGGTAATGATGATAGACAACAACAATACCAACAACGAACTTCAGACAAATGGCACAGTTTAGAAATTCCACAGGCTGAATAATTTGTGACTTGCGGTGAGTTGAATAAGTGCGAAAGGTGATCATTTTGATCAGCACGAAATTTACGCTACCAATTGTTTTGGTTCAGTCCTGCTACTTTTGTCAAAAAACGCCGTGTGCGCCCGATGGTCATCAATAGACAAACGGAAGAAGGTCTGCCATGTGTAACCGGAAGGCTCTTTTCTCGAAACCCCATTGATTCCAAATTATGCATGACCTATTCACGCGGTATCTTGAGTACCTGTACGCGGTACGAAATGAAATGATCTATATCTGTCTAACGGTGCTTGATGAGTATAAGCAAACAGATCTGTTTTGTATCCAAGGTTTCTGGTGAGAATCCTACTCGATTTCACAACGTGAAGTGACAAGACAGAGTTATTGAAAACCACAATGGCTTTCATATGCTTTGATCATATCTGTAAGCTTGAAACGTCACTATCGGTGTTGACGTTACAGCGCACAACGATCCACGTCGAGTGACGCGTAAAAATCTAGGAAGATGGTGTCTTTCAATAAATAGATTTCTTCTACAAAACGAGTGCTGATATAGAGATTACAACCGTGTAAAATATACAAACCTCAAACTATGGCACTATTCGGTTTAACAGACACCGGAATCTGTTAAGCCAGTAATTCGATGAGTAAGAACTACAAGCAAGCAGGCGCGCAACGTGATGACAAACAATGAGAGCGCAAATAGTGCTCCGTGGAGCTGTTTAAACACTGAACGATATCAGACAAGATCACATACGTCCGTGGTAGTCAACACTGGAAAGTGACCTTGACGGAACCAATCGAAATACAGTGGATATGCTTATTAGTCATCAGGGCCAGCCATTATATAATAGTGGGGTAATCCTATCTGTGTGTGTGTACACCGTTGTCAGGGTCCGTTGATCATGGGTACGGATCGACGAAACAGGTAAGACCAACACAGAGGGCAAAGTAGTGGAGGAAACAAACTAATAGTGCGTGCATAAGTGTAGACGGTATGGAGAACAGTTCTATGCACGAATCAATGGGAGGTTGAAATCAAAAACACGGACAAAATAGGAAGATGGAGAATAGGACAATGGTGTGGAGTGTGTGCATCTAAAGAATGTCAATTTGAGGCAGAATTTATCCAACAATCGATCAGAGAACCGTTTCTTGATTTGCCTGTGGTAACGACTGAACAGAGAGCATACTGCATGCACGAATGAACGTGCTCAAGTTCAGGTTCGATGTATTGGGAATCGAATGTAACTTTTTCAACCCACCGCCACCCCGGTGCCTCAGTTGAATTGCAGGAGATCGAATGGATCGATCGCCATTCATCACATTACGGTCAGTGGAAATCCCTGCAGGGGTGTGTGCTACTGTACATCCACTTTATCAAACTCGTTAGGAGCTTTCAGTAGTTTCCAGTCCCCCAGTATAATGACAGTTGAAGACTTCACATATTTTTGGCTTCCTGCTGGTCAGTGTTTTGTGGACTCGAGTGAATTTCGATGCGAATCGGGAACAACTGACGACTTGTGGTAAGCCAATCTCGGCTGCGAATCAAGAATCCAATGCATCAGACCAGAAGAATTATCGCGGATTTATTCCAGTCTTATTAATAATAACCTGGTTTTCGGGTGATATAAATTAAAGGGTACAGTAATATTTATATGTATGTATATCAAGCGACGGCAGAATGCCGTTATAAAGAAACAGAGTATACCGTTGTACAGAAGCCAAAATAGATGTCACAGCTTCTCTCACATATTATTAAATGGGTAAACATGTTATTGGCTGCCACTACACTTCTAGTAATCCACTGGAGCGGTTGAAGCATAAGCCACACATTTATGCATGACANTTGATGAAGTTGCTACTTCACAAGCGTACCTGATCGTGAAACTGGGATCGCAACAGTTGACTATGCATAAAGCCCGCTGGTGCAAACAAAGTACCGTGACCAGTGACGTGCACGACTTCTAACCGGGACGTTCCAACGTGAACGAAGCGATTGCACAGTTACTCTACCCGGGAGTGCTATCTCGGTACGGGAGATACGTTGACACTGCATGATGAATGATTTTGATGAACAATTGATTTCTAACTGATCAGATAGAATGGCAAACTTTTGTCTCGTCACACTGGATCTCTACTTGAATTCAAGTAGACAACATTATTTTAGTACAAAAAACGACAACACCAGATTGTAATATGGTCTCACATCGTGTGTACATAATAATTTATAGATGATCGATTTATGTTAGTGTTTTTTCTGCGATCAAAAATGGACAAAACAAACCTTTCATTTGACCATCTGGCTTTTGTTGTTTTCGATTGCTTTGTTCATGAAAAACCGCACGAAAACGATTGCAATGGGAACACGGAAGGTGCCTCTGAATTGGTGACCGGGAATGCGTCCGTTTTTATGCAGATAACCACGTGGTTCGGCTAGCATGCTAACTGTGGCCTCGAAGAATGCGTGTGTGTGTGTGTTCCTTGCAGCACCACTTTGTAACGGTTTCGAACATGTTACTATCCGCCCCATACACGCACACACACATAGTGAGGGACAGGGACGGTATGAACTATATCTAATATAAGGTGTCAGCAGAACTCTCTCTCTCTCACACACACACACACACTGGTGAACAGTGTTTACGGACAGAATGAGTCTTGTGCGGTGCTCATTCGTCATAATTTGTCCGAACTGGTCCGGATCGAATAGATTGGTGTATTTCCCTTCCGACAAATCGCGTTTTCACTTTGCAGGATCTATTTCAGTTAGCAATGAAAAATTGTGAAAAATAGATCCATAAAAAGATAACTGTTGATGAATGATGATGTGGGATTCGTTTGTGCGATTCAGAAGAAAACGCTGTCCACGTTGTGCCCCTGAATTCCTTCACTGAGTGCTAAAAGTCGTGAAACTTCAGAAGTCGGTATAACACATTTTTTTTCCCGCGTATGCGTTACGTCTATTGTAGTAGACAAAAGTTAGTCACTTGCATCAAAACATTTTGTTGCTTCAAGACAGAAATCGAGGTTTACACAAGTGTTTTGATTCTTTAAAAAGAGCACATTTTGTGCGAGCAATTTGCTATGCCTTTTTCTGGTACCTTCTTAGCCAAACGTGTTTTTTCATTTTTGTTTTGAGATTGGATGCTGACCTTTCAAACTTGAGGTTGGTGTTTACGGAGATCCACACGTGTTACTCACTGATGACGAAATACGGCACAACCATGCGGCATAGATTTCACACATCCAGATGAGGACGTGAGGAATAGATCTCCATCAATGTTGATGAAACACTCGCTTTTCGGGCTTTTTAATGAGT